CCCCCCCCCCCCCCCCTTTTCTTCGGGTATAAGCCTTTTCTTGCCTTCCCTACCCACCGGTATTTCCCTAGTTTGCTTACCACGCCCCCATCGTTCAATTCCCACGTCCCTTGGATCCCCACTACATCTAGATCGCTCTGTTCTACTTGGTCCACTATTTCCAACCGGTTGCGCTCACTCCTTGCGAACCCGCACACGTTCCACGACCCGGCTCTCAGCTTGTACTTTTCCCTATTGGAGATTTTGCGCACTCGATCGTTCGCCTTACGCTTCTTCTCGGACTTGATCTGACTTGCTTGCTCGCCTCCCCACCGAGGGGGGGGCTTGTTTTACAACATCGCTGCCAAGCGACGAAAACCCAACCCCGATGGCAGACACCGAGAGGGGGGCTTGTTTTACAACAACGTCGTTGCCAAGCGACGAAAACCCAACCCCGATGGCAAACACCGAGGGGGGGGGTGGGCGGCTTGTTTTACAACGTGGTTGCCGAGCGACGAAAACCCAACCCCGATGGCAAACACCGGGGGGGAGGCTACTCTTGGGGGCAAAAAAAAATTTTACCCCTTCGACCTACGACACAAGAAAGACATCTACATTCAACTTACAAAACACAGGTCTTCAGTCGCTGTCTTCCTCACTGTCATCGCTTTCGTCGCTACCGCCGCCGTTGTTGGCATCTGCGGCGCTACCCTGCCTCTGTTGCACTTACTTGTCTCTTGGCGGACAAAATACACCTCGTTGTCCGGATCCCCTTCGCTTTCACTGCTGCTGTTATCCTACCTACTTCTAGAAGAGTAGGGTTCCATTCCGCTAAGAGGCGATGACATAGATAGCACCGCCGTTTCAGCTGTGCGCAGCTGTGTAGCGCGTACCAGATACGAGGTACAGAGGGCACCTTGAATATCATCGGCGTCAATTGTAGACCTCTGTTTTCGATTCGGCGGAGCCCCTTTTAGAATAGGGGTTTTCATTTTTTGTCGGCGATTTTTTCAATTTTTCCACTGCTGTTTTCCGGCAATATTTCACGTGCAATATTTTGCTGAAATCGGCGTCTTCGGCGATCGCCGGCGGGGGAAAGGCCTATTCTTGGTTCTGTACGGCCGACTCAACCCCCCTGGTCGGCAACGGCCACCTCCAGCACATGAGCACTTGCTGCACATGACCAGGATACTCGGGGACCTGAACACTGCAGGCGGGTGGGTCATCAGCCGCGGTGCTTGTGTCAGTAAGCCTTGGTTCTGGTGCTATGAGGCTGTGAGGCATGGTGAGAGCGATTGGTTGTGGATCGTTGCAAACTACACCGACAGGGTCCGACCTTTTGTGGAATACACACACACATTAGCGCGGTCGATGCTAATAATAAAAACACACATCTGGAATCTAATTGCCTTCTGTAGGGGTGGAGTTTTGCGATGCCAAGCAGTTTTGTGGCACCATTTGTCTTCAACTTGCAGGCAAACTTGGAACCCATCACGTAGAGGTACGTACTTACAGCAGTAGACTGCTGTGCCGCACACGCAGCAGGTAGTGTAGCATTTTAACCAGTGCGATACGATGATACATATGCCGTGGTATTGAGCAGCGCCGGCCGGTGACCCAAGCGTTCCGAGCGACGAAGACTCCCTTATTACACAGATTTGCTGTTCTGGTGGCCGTCCTCAATGTTTCCGAGTTCAACTGCCGCGGCATACGGTGGCAATAGTACCACTATATCCCATAAGAAGCTTTGATGTGCAGTACCGACAGCGGTTCACTGGATCTACACCCATGTGCGCTTGTGCCGACAGCGGAAATGCCGTGTACTGCTGCACACTCGTCGCAGTTGACCATGAAACACAAAAAAACAGAAAATGACACTTGATCATCCAAGTGACACCAAGCCTTGTGTGGTCAAATCGTTTAATTGTTGTGTATGGGACAGGTGTGATACCGCAGTAGTGGGGACCCGACACTTGGAAATGCCACTACAGTCGAGGGACCCTTTTAGTGCCGGTTGAATAGTGCCAGATGCCCGGTATAGTGCCGGTAAAATCTCTGCACACAGGCGGAGCTCTCAATAGTGCCAGACCGGCACTAATTAAAGCATGCCCGATATAGTGCCGGTTCGGCACTGCTGTCACCCCCAATAGTGCCGGTACTCCGCACGCGCGAAACACACACACGC